CTACGGCTCTGCTTATCCCACTCAAGTCTAAATATTGGTTCGCCATGACTGCAAGTTGAAATGGGAGATTGTTCAGTCTTATTACCGGGGAAAATCCTACTCCTCGTAATACACAATACTATGAAATCACACGCTGTGTAATTGAGCTTGATTGGAATTAATATAAAGGGCGGCTCTTCCTATCATTGCGAAGCAAGAGGAGTATTGGATTCTTTAAAAACCTAACGCGAGCTGGGTGTCATCCGTTAGGAATGAGGGGGGTTTCACCCTGCTGATAAGTTACTGTACTTATATTCATTCTACTAATTACAAGAGAAGCCTTTGTTTTGGGAAAGGTAGTAAAGGTAAAGGCGCACACGAGCCAAAGGCCCACACGGCCGGAGCTTATACCGGTTTCCGTAGCATGAAGCATGCCTAGGAGTACTGCTCCCCCCTTACTGGACGGGATGCTAGTCCATCGCACCCGTTCATACACCTGGGTGAAGAGAGAAAAATTGGAGTAAAGTTCCTTGTCTAAGGAAACAACGCGATGGGTGAGGCTTGAACCCCGGACCTCCAGATCCAGAGTTACAGGTGTTAACTGCTCGGCCACCAACGCCTATTTGGGGAAGACAGAGTCATTTTTTATAAACCATATAAGAGAGTCGTCAAAAATTCTCAAAACAATGCAACCCAATCGAACTCTCGAAATCAAGAAAACATAGACCCTTCACACTAGCTTCTCAATAGTAAACCGTTACATCTCTCTACCTAATGGCTCAGTAGATTATGTAACATTTTGTCGATTCCATTATTAATTTAAATGTGACATGTAAGAACGTAAATAAACATGTCAACTTTATTAGCGGAGGAATAATTTCCTCGTGGACAATCCAGATATTTCATATATTTTTCACACGAAAAAAAACTAGTTTAAATTTAAGCAACTCTATGAACTAGTCGTTTATATAACATACGTTATTTTCTTTGTCTATTTACAATCAAAAATTCACTTGACGAATTAGATTAGTAGCCACTACAATAGTCACCACATAATTTGAGGATCTCACAGGCCGTTGCTCTCTTAAAACACTACAAGGCTCACTACTCAACTCTTAAGAAAATAAAGTACCTCTTACGAAAAAAACCTATTCGTTAAAACACGGGCGTTTTTTTTTCGGATCCTAGACGTTACATGTTTCTTAGCAACCACAGAAAAGATCGAGTGGGATAAGTCAATACTAGGGCATCGCCACATTCCCAAGCTGTGCACTGTTTACTCAAGCGGTGGTCTTTTCTCCCGGATCATTATTTAATACAGCATCAAGTACGTCCATAGCGGCAGCTGGTATTCGCGTACCTAGAAAGGTAGAGAGAGATGTCATGTTACTTGTCAATGATCGAGACCCACAGTTAAACCTTTACACAACGGCCACCTTAGGGACAGAAGAAAGTGGCCGTTGTGAAGAGGTGGCCGTTATGAGGAAGTAAAGGTGTAATATGACATTTTTTTAGGAAATACGTTTATGTACGAAGTATGTTTATTGTTCTAATTTCATGCTTGCTGTATCCCATAATGGTACTCTAATCATATATAATATATACACATAAAATTCATATAAAAACATGAATACTGTTTTGAATCAAAATGTTAGCGTGACAAAAAGGGCAAGGTTCGCAACATTCGCTATGAGTATCGTAGACAATTTATGCTCACTGCAGCAGTATAAATGGAACAAAACAAAACAAAATACGATTGCATGCCGCGATTAATTTTCAACGTGCCATACGGGTCAAATTTCCTGACCATTCTTGACTTTTTCATCAGAGATGAAAAAACTCGCCGTTGTCGAGAGGCTGTTAGGGACCTTACGAAACCACGACGACGACGGCAACGGGAACGTCAAAAAACAATAGGTTTAATGAGCAAAACAACAACTCTGCACGCGCATCACGCTTTTTTGTATACTTCTTTGCCTTCACCGCACAACTACGACGTGAAGTGACCAAATTTTAAGTTTACTTGGGAACGGGAACGGCAAGGCGATAAATTTTACCATCTCTGTCCGAACGTGAGCGCGTTGCCCTCTCTTCAGCTCCAGCCAAAATCCCCTTCTTTTAAGTAACAGGGAGAATTAAGATAATCGCGAAAAAGTTTAAAATGACGCGAAGTCTGTTTTTCAGCGACGTTTTCATGGACGCCGCTGTTGTCGGATCGTAAGGTCCCTACTTTGGCAGTTGGGGACACGCTTTAGAGGCCGTTGCCGTTGTAGAGAGGTTTAAACAAGAGCCATTGCATGGACTGTCCGCCGGGACGAAAAAGGGGACCTTTGTAGAGGGGTAGCCGTCAGTGCAGGTTCGACTGTAATGTCTGCTGTTAAGATGTTCAAGTGTAGTAGTGCCAATTTTTGGAATTCAAACTTTGAAATGCTAATGGCTACCTCAATGACGTAACTTTATTAGTCAGAAAAGTATTATTTTTAACTTCTATTTCGGGACTTTGGCAAACATCATCCCGGGGCTACAAAGGTGATGCAAAACATACACCATCAACAGTACCGTAACCATCATCATCAACATCATCAGCACCATCGACACATTAAAGACAACGTGACTAAAGGGACAGCGAGTCGCACAGAGCTAAAAATCGACGTGACCAATAGCAGAGCAAGACACTGAGTCACGTTCAGCCTTTTCCGTGCGCTTCGCTTTCTCGTTTGACGCTGCATTGTCTTCACTCAATCTACCTAATGATTAATGACGGATGATCATCCTACCGACTAAGAACATAAAACGTAAACGTTTCCATTTCTTCGGACTCCACTTACGACTCCGTCGCTTACGTTCCGCTTATGATCTAATCAAAACCAAATCGTCGGAGTCGGAAGCAGAAGCGGAAGGATAAACCAGTCACAATGCACATTCCCGCGCTTTGTGATTGGTTTAGTTCTTCTGCTTCTGCTTGCGAATGCGACAACCTACAATTTTCACTTGATCGTTAACGCCGCAGTCGCTCTTTTCAGTAGATCATCAAGACCTACGCTTGTGATTACGACTCCGTCTCCGCGCTAGTGTAAGCCAGCATTTCTTTTTTCCACCCCCAGGACTAACACCAAATTTATAGCAAAATAGATCAAGTTGTGCAATCTACTTGCTATCATGTAGTCATCTTACCGGGTCCAAATACAGCGTGAACTCCAGCTTGATGTAGGAAATCATAGTCTTGGGGAGGAATCACACCGCCACACACGACAACGATATCGCTGCCAGAACAGAAAACACGGTGAAACACTAACAAGGTAGAGAAGGTGGGGGGCGGGGGGAGGGTGGGCGCAGTAAATGAAGCTTGCTTTGTCCCTAAAAATCGTGCCGCGAGATTATTAGGAAAACTGTTAAGAGAATACAACACACTTCGTCTAGTTCTCTTGCGGAGAAGTACCGTTTAATTATAAACGTTTGTCCTACGTAGCCACATGTTTGCCACTCTGCATTGTGTTTCAAATCGCCTAAACTAGAGAAGAAGATTCACTTCTTTATACGAGCTGCAAGGTTTTAATAAAACTACTTGAATATGATCACCTAATCTGCAAAAACTAAAGTTGTCCGTACCTTGAAAAGGGTAGTAGTCAGTTGCAAAGGAAATCACTGACAGGTTCATACATTACACCTCGCGCCTGAAGGGTAAGGTCGCTAAAGTCAGCTTACTCAAACTGCCTCCCTCTGCAACCCTATGGTTAGGTCGAAGACCCCCAAAATTGATCCTGCTGAGTTGTTCGGCGGTTCACTTATATCAGTTAATGCACAGGGGGGGGGGGGGGGGGGGGGGGGGGGGGGGGGGGGGCCCTTTGGGGATGGGCGGCCCTCCCCCTTTCCACTTTTTTTTTTTTTGGCAGTCAGCGCAGGAAGGGATGTTTTTTTTCCCGCACCCGCGGGGCCATGTCCCCCCCCAGTCACATTACCATCCTACCCGCGGCGGTGGCGAGTGGGGGCGCTCTGCCCACTCCTCACTCCCCCCCCTCCCCTTCCTGCACGGGCGTGCGTACTTGACCGCGCCCTCTGGGTTGGTTGTGTTGGGTTTGGGGGGGGGGTCGGGGGGGGGGGGGGGGGGGGGGGGGGGGGGGGGGGGTGGGAAGAGTGAGAGGGACTCCTTGAAGTATAGTGCGCCTTACCCTCTTCCCATTTTCTTCATTTCGGCGATCAGCTCAGGTAAGAGTGTTTTATGTCCAGCGGCCTGGGAGCTGATTCCCACCACATGTACATCTGCGTCCACCGCCTGCTGCGCCACTTCCTTGGGGGTCTGAGACGAGAAAAATGAGGCTCTTAACAAAGAAAGCTAACATTAGTCAACACACAAAGACCAATTATAGTTGAGACGGCTCAAAAAATATAAACTGCCCAGGGGAGCAGAGGCTTCCACATATGACGGGCAGAGTGCCAGGTAGATACGATTTCGGAGAAAAAGAAAGTTTTACAAGTGGCTTAATGTGGTACGAAGCTAAGGCTTCCCTGGTGTTATAAGGGCAGTCCTGTAATACTGTAAATGTTGATGAGTTAAAGGAGCTGTGTCACGAAATTCAGCCAAATCAGGTTATTGCAAAATGCCAGTTAAATTAAATGAAACATAAAAATAACCGCTTAAAACATTAAAGGAAGGTTAAAATAACATAACAGATACAACAGATGCCACGGATGGGCAAAACTGAAGAAGATTGAAACGGATTGAAATGAGGGTTTTTGAAAACTGTTCAGCCTAACAGTTTTTCAAAGTTTATCTCTGCTGTTTGCAACTTCAAAACTAATGCTCACGGGACATATTTGTCTGTCTCGAATCTCTGATTTTGTTATTTCCATACAATTTCCTTGCTAACTTTAAGTTCCATACCGATTGAGGGCGAGTAATTGGCAAAATTAAAAAAAATGAACTGGACTGCCGTGACACAGCCCCTTTAAGATCCTGATCACTGACCTGGAAAAGTGGTCCAATATCGACGTCAAATCCGAGATCAGCAAAACCAGTAGCGATCACCTTAGCGCCTCTGTCGTGTCCATCTTGGCCCATTTTAGCCACCAGTATTCTGGGACGACGGCCTTCCTGTTCCACAAAGGCCTTGGTTTGGAATAAGACACAAACGAGAAGAGAAAAAAATGTATTAGTACATTAAGGGTACGTTTTTTGTGACAGATGTCAAAATCGTTCAGCAATCTAGAGGTATACCTAACGGACAAAGAATACTGTGCTGCAATACAGTTGCAAACATGGACCAAAAGGATGTAAAATAACTCACCTCGACCTTTTTCATGCACTGGGTAATCTCATCTGATTCGCCAAACTCGGATTTGTAAGCACCACTGACCATGCGATCGCTGGCAACATGCCTTCCAACCACCTGTCATAAGTGATACGATGCAATGGAAGCATTAAAAATAATAACATTTATAATAATGATGATGATGATGATGATGTTGATGATGATGATAATCTTTGTAGAGGAAGTTCCCGTCACATGAAGTGATTTTCAGGAACGTCGTTACGAAGACAATTAATATTAAACTTACTACCATAAAAAGCATAAAAATTAAAATATTTCGCAAATATAAAAGGAAAAAGTGAAAATATTACAAAATAAAACACTTAAAAATTTAAAACGTTTTATGTAGCAATGTTAGACTCTACTTGCTCTTTGATGCTCATAGTGCGGTGCAATAAAAATACGTTTTTGGATTGAAATGTTATTATAATTTAAGTAGGTTCACACTTCGCGTTCTTCACTTAGGTATCGGGGTGAAAGTATAACGTGTGACAATTAAAATGAAAGCTATTGTGTAGAACTTTCCTGTGATACTATTTATTATATTATGGTGTTTCATCTTTTGTTGAAAGTGCGGTTAACATTTACTAACATTTAATAAGCGGTAATCTCCACTTTGAAACGTTTTTAACTTCTAAAGTTCATGTTGAACTCCTACCCTTTCCATTGCCTCGGTTATTTCACCCACTGTGCAACGAACTCTTGCAGCCTAAAACAGAAAATTCATACCATCGGTTGTTCAACACGTTGAAATTAAACTTCTTTATAACTTCGGTTAAACATTTGGGAATTCTTAATTCTCGAACCTTGCTTCTAAACGCTAAGATTTCCCAGCACAAGACCGATGTAACATGTTGTAAATTAATTTGAAAATAAACTCTCAGTTTGATACCTTGATGGAAAGATCAAGAAGGTTGCCTTCTCCAGTTTTGCAGCATTCAGAAATTGCATCCATAGCACTTTTCACCTGAAGGAGTTTTGAATTAAATCACTCACAAACGTCACATAAGAGTTATAGTTTATAATACCAGGTTTAAGTCTCGAACATTACCATAGACAAACGTGAGATCAACTACATGAACAGATTGAAGTGCCTTTACCTCGTCTGGATTTCGTGTTTCTTTAATTCGTCTAAGTTTTTCCACCTGAAACGGAAAACAAAAAGTCAGGATAAGGTTACACCGCAAAACAATCGTATTTTCGCAGTGGAGAAACAATAGGTAAAATCAGGGGTTGAAACAGACGGCGAGAGTAGAAAGAGACTAATAAGGAGGTGAGAGTCTCGCCCGTTCACACTCAAGAATTGCCGCTTACGGTGTTTTGCGTGAGACTGGGAAGAGCTTACGGAGGTGTGAGGCTCATCCGTTGACACACGAGAATTCACACGCACGGTTCTTCGCGCGAGACTGGGAAGAGCCTTCAGAAGTGTTAGTTTCGCACGTGTACGGTCAAAAATTCACGCTTATGGTTTTTCGCGCTATGTGTGCAGCAATTTGAAGTTTAAAGTTCAAGAATTAACTGTCTTGAAGTCTTTTTTTATGACAGGTGTGTTTATAGTAACGCTTTGCAATCTCTTTTAAACAAATATAAACTTAAAGATAACATAGAGCAAAAATATCTCCATTACAACTTCGCCCTTCGGTCGGCCTTTGCGTCGGCATTCCGAATTACGGACTAACTCAGAGTCTAATAAAGAGTGAAGGAGAGGCATTGTAAAGATCACATCCAGCACATTAGGAGGAAGAGTAAGGAGGTTTAGGTTGGCTGAAGTTGTAAGGACAAAATACTTGACTTTGTCTCCAAAACAAAATTAAAAGGATTAATCTCTAACCTGTTGTTCTCGAACTTTGGTGTTGTCCACAACAAGCACGTCAATGGCTTCTTCCTTCTCCAAGCGATATTTGTTGACACCAACAATTGTTTCTGATGTAACAAACAGACAATTGTGTTATGACCAAAAGCAAGTTGAGAAGCGAATATTACGGCAACCAGCTTAATGCAACACAATCGGGTTAGCTGAATTATCTGAACGTGTGATGATGATGATGATTATTATTATTCGTGCCCCTTTAACCCTTTCACTCCCAATAGTAGCAAACCGAAAAATTCACAGAAAATTTAAACTCCTTTTTGCGAAATCCCAAGAAATAAAGGTACCATGCTAAACTTCCGCCAAAAGGTTTAATTTGAAGAATAACAATTTCGTCTATAGATTTAAAAGTAAGAGTGACAATCTCCACTAAAGTGGCTTTTAAATGGTTTAAGTAAATAAACATTGAGAGACTACAAAATGCTTGTAACAAACTTGTAAATTATGTCATAGTGCACTAAGGGTGAAACCCCTTCCTGGATGAACTGACATATTCCAGACGTTTTGAGGTTTCTGCCTTTTGTAAGGGGAAGGTGGCTCCCCGAGTTTGTTGCAGGTGGGAGATTTTTATGTAGAGAAATAAACAGCTTAGGCGGGCATTTCAACCACGTTTCCTTGAGGATGCCTATATACCGAGCCAGGACTTCGAGCCAGGACTCGACGCAGGACTCGACAATTTTTCGCTTTCCCGCCATTTTCACCTCCTGCAAGTCACATGACCATGAAGAGGAGGGTTTTCGTGGCAATCATGGAAGGTAAGCTGTAGTTAGGGTTAGGGTTAGAGTTCTGCCTCGTATTAGGGTTAGGGTTAGGTTACGGTTAGGGTTAAGGTGAGGGCCGGTTACGAGTCCTTTTTTACTTTTATTTTATTTCATTTTTGTTTATTTGTTTATTTATTAATTTATTATTATTATTTTTTGCTTACAGAAAAATTAGAAAAGTCCTAACTGGAGTCCTGGCTCTGATGTTAGTTTAGCTCCGTTTCTTCGACTTATATCAAGATGGAAAAGGCGGGAAAAAAATAAAGAGTTAAGATTATTTGAGAGTGAAAAGTTGAGGTTCCGGCCACCCTCAAATTGTTTAACCCGAGCGTTACCGGCTACTCTCGCTTTTTTCTCCTCTAACCTGAGCCAGAGTCAATCCTGGCCTGACGCTTGGCTGCACATTCTTCGATCCTTAGTTTTGGCATTCCTGCTGCAACTGCTTTAGCCATGCCTCCTAACTCTTCAACCTAAAAAAAAAGAGTAGAAATGTGACTGGAATATCAATTAACGCAGTTTCTGGGATAGCCCGAGAAAAAAGTCAACATTTCGCGACGCAATCACTGGTTTCGTCTTGCGAAATGACGTCTGAGGAACGAGCGCAGATACCCGGATCTGAGTCGTGCTTTTCATTGGTCGTGCCGTGTGGCAAAATTGCTTCAACCAATCAGATGGAAAACGGGGTAATGTCGCGTCATCAGTATGGAATTTCTCCGCTCGTTCCTCACACGAAATTTCGCGGGGAAACCACTGGTAGCGTCGCAAAATTTCGGCTGTTTTCTCAGGCTTTGTTTTGGACAATAAACAGTCCCTTAATTCAGATATCAGAGAGACCAAACTACGCAGGCGCAAGAAAAAAAACACCTCTCGTGACACAATTGTTACACATATGATTACTCGCATGTATCACTTGCTTTGCTGTCTATGAGAAGAAATAGAAACTAACCGAGCTAAAATGCTACCTGAGTACATAGATGACTAAAAACGTGGAAAGTAACCAGGTGTAGAATAGGAGTGCTTTTTTGGAATGTAATGTTAATAAAAACCATGCTTAAACATGTCTACGAACATGTCTTTCACCGTCAAAACAAACTTAACGTTATCACTCCCAAGTTTATACACCCGAATTCTAGATGAGCTGGCATTTTCGTCCCATAATTCCTAATGGTTTTAAATTCAAGCAAACTCCTGGTCTTACCTCATTAATGACTTTAAGTCCTTCTTCATAAATCTCATTAGTCAGGCTTTCCATCATAAACGAACCACCCCAAGGATCTGCAACCTAAATATATTTATTCCAGTTTAGGAAGATTTGAAAATATGTTACGATAAATTACCAGGTACATGTACAGTTGAAGATCAGGATAGCGGACAGCTCAACCTACATGTAGAACCGCGTTGAAAAAAGGAAAACTCTACTAACACTGATATAAATTCTGTATTTTTACATTCTGTGAGCGGTTATTCATATATAAAGCGGACGCGGACGTTAGAGACGCTTCGATATACCGGTTCCGCGCAGGTCTATAGGTAAATAGACAGGGCTGTCATTAAGAGGCGGGGGCCGGGAATTTCCTTCGGCTCGGCTACTATAAACGTGGCCCCTGGCTACTTTCATAGGAAAATAGAACCAAAAGAAACCCCTAGGTGTTTGATTCCCAACCTACTTGTTGTATTTACCCGGCAACTTGAAATCTTGGTGACAGCCCTGATAGACCCTTCCACGGTTTTTCTCAGCTTTTGACATGGACAAGTTAGAGAAAATCCATCGCCTCCGCTGGAAAGAGCGCCTTTAACTTGGTAAAATTGCCAAGTTTGAAAGCTTTTTGTTGAAAACTAACGAAGATATACCTCCTCAAAGTCGCGAAATTTCACGGACGTTTGTGGCCCGCAATGTGGCGGCACAAACTTGCCCCCTCCCCCCCCCACCCCCCCACCACACATTCTTCTGTAACTTTTCGTAGCTTTGCGGAGCTTTACCTTCGCACGCTTGAGACGCATCACTTTCAAACTAATTTCAAGGCGCTCTTTCCAGTGGTGTCGACGGATTTTCCCGAACTTATACATGTCAAAAGTTAAAAAACCGTTACCCATACCCGTAGATGAGCGTAGACCGGGAAGAACGGTGATTCTGGTTTCTTTTGTCAAAGGGGCGTTTTAATAGGATTTTGAAAAATTCTACGAGAGCTTTGAAACAGTTGGCCCAACTTTTTCAAGTTTTAGATAATGTCCATCCTTGCCACCCTTTGCAAAAGACGACAGGAAACAGTTCCAATACCTAATACAGCCTTGAATAACAAAACTGGTCTATTACTGGAATTCAATTGATGCGAAAAAAAAACGCTAGATAGCTTTTTAAAAAGATAGCAAATAGCGTGACATGGCCCTTTTAACAACGTCTTGGATCTCTTTGGTCCCAGCTTACGGGAGCTTTGACGTTGGTAAAGTCAGCAATACTTAAAAATCACCTTAGGTATTCCTGACTCCTCTTGAAGTATGATCTGAGTATTACGAGCAATCCTTGCACTAAAGCGAGTTGGTAGTGCCAGAGCCTCATCAAATGAGTTGGTATGGAGGGACTGGGTACCACCAAACACTGCAGCCATAGCCTCTATTGTTGTTCTGATAATGTTATTGTAGGGGTCCTACACACAATAATAAAAAAAAAACAAGAAAACAAAATTAATCTAAAACCTAGTGTATCCATGGTAGGTTTTATGAGACAAGTTTCTGTGGGAGTTGGCTAAACAAATCACTTGTATAAAAATATTTCAAAACCGACTGTTAAGCACCATCTCCATGTTACAAATTGTCTTAAAACATGAACATACATAATTTTATTTAACACTCTTTTACCTGCTCAGTAAGGGACCACCCAGAGGTTTGTGAGTGAGTTCTCAACATACATGATTTCAGATTCTTTGGCTTAAAGTTCTTTTCAATTTGGTGAGCCCAAAGTCTGCGTGCTGCTCTCATCTTTGCTATTTCCATGTAGAAATTCATTCCAACGGCCCAGAAGAATGAAAGCCGTGGTGCAAAGCTGTCAATGTTCAGACCTGCTTTAAGACCTTAGATAGCCAAAAAAAAGAACACGTTTAAAAGGTTAAAGTCACCATCAGCATCCACTGGTCTCACAAATACAACATCCCTATTTCTGGGGTTTCATAACAGAGCACAGACAATTAACATAAAGACTGCAAGCAGTCTCTAATTTTCCTTTTGAGTCACTGTAGATCAAGAACAAGTGTGAGGGGCAAGCAGCAAAGCCACAAGGAACGACGGCAAAAGCCTTTTCATCAAAGCTTCTTTTTACCATTAATTTGCATAATTTTAGTTTTTGCTCGTCGTACGTGGCTTCGAGGTAAGAAGAACAACCGCTCACAGTCTAAATATTGCAAAGTTCCATAACCAAAGTAGTAGGAAGTAGAGGCCTAAATTTCAGTAGTTTTTGTTTATCCCATACCTGTTCTACAGTACTCTAATCCATCAGCTAAAGTGAAAGCCATTTCTAACACTGCATCAGCTCCAGCTTCTTGCATGTGGTAACCAGAGATTGAAATACTGTTGTATTTAGGCATATTCTAAAAACACAACCAGAGTGGCACTCAGAATAGCATTGAATTTTAATAAATCAATATTATATTGCAGTTAGTCACAATTAATTTACACCAGTTTCCGTGTTTTCACATACACACCCAGTTACACTTCAAAACACCTCTTGAATTCTATGCTCGTGACTAAATTACAACATTGTCAGAACACAACAGAACAGCTGTAACAGGTCAAAATTACATTCAGCTTAACACTTTTTAACTTACACACGTAGGTTGATTCTCTGTTTTCTCTGTCTTCCAACCTTGACTATTCATGAATTAGGGCTAGGAGACAAGGAAATTGAGAATCAACCTAGGTTAAAAAATTTTAACCTGGATTTAATTTTGACCTGTAACATATCCAAGCGCTTATATTTTCGATGTTTACTTGTAGTTGGGCAAGATTTTTTCCCTTATAGCAGCCATCCAACCCTTACATCTCTAGTGGCCACTGTTTTAAGAGAACAATTCTTGTAAGCAGCCGGCTTCAGCAATGGACACCTTTTTTGGGTCCCTACAGTGTCAGCTTACGAGAGCTTAGACTGCATGTCTTTCTTACTAAAAGAACATAATCTTAAAGCAGCAATGTGAAAAACTGCTCAAGTTACAAATTCATAAATACCTTGGATGTGTAAGAGAAGATATCACCAATAAGCTTCATGGAAGGCGCCGGTGGAAAGATGTACGTGTTACGCACCATGAATTCCTTTAGAATGTCATTTTGAATAGTCCCAGATAACTGCTCTTGTTTTACGCCCTAAAAAACAGTCGCAGAGTTGTTAAATTGCTTTTATTATGAAAATTTTTACACACATTAATTTTATAGCAACAACAGTAAAGTGAATGTAGATTGGAGTTATTGACCCCGCATGACCTTTTTCCTTGTGGTAAGGCTGGGAGGAGGAGGTTGTGGAGACCAGTACAGGAAAGGCTTGAGAAGGATCCAGGCCTTATTTCAGAAGGATAGTATTTATTTTGCTATGCACACATTAAAGCAAACATGAAAGAGATGGTTATTCAGTCAGTGACACAGGCAGCTCAGAATAAAAAGTCTGAGTACTCCCATTAGGTGTCAAACCTATGACCCTGGGCAGGGGCACTCCTGTATTTGGCCTAAACAATACATGTATGTGCCACTGAACAGGGTATGGTTTTCAGGGTCTTGAGTATTAAACAGGGTATACAATTTCACTACTAAGCATCTTGAACAGGGTGTCTTTTTGGACTGGAAGCCTTTCAAAGAGCATGGAGACTTGCGATGAGCAGTCTATATTTGCAATGCGAATAATGTTTTTCCTAAATATCTATTTCCAAGATTTTAGTGTAAAAAATTACTTAATTCCGTATGTAAAACAAGACAAACCAGGGTCAGAAATTAGTGTCTCCTGTCTTAAACAGGGAGGCCAAATGAGAAGGCCTTGGCAGCACAGGTCTGCCCAAAGTTCCCTTGACTGCCTTCCCACCCCCTCGGCCTCTCGTTACTTGTCCAGATGTTCTAGATGTACCACTAAGTAGCAGTAGACTCATGGGAGCTGCTGTAAGGCCATTGAAACAATGCATACAAATCAGTACATGTAGTTGGATATTTTAGGCAAGTACCCTCTTGGGATTATTACTTAAACTGTACTTAATGAGATAATGGTTTTATCATTGCTGGTTAAGCGTAAATCAGTGCAAGTTTTATCAGGCATTTGTATGCTATATGTCTTGCTGTCCATGCTAACAAAAATGTACTTACAGTTAAAAAGCAAAGTTATTAAGAACCATTGATATTGACTGATATATCACCTGTTCTTCTGCAGCAACAATGTACATGGCCAAGACCGGTAACACAGCACCATTCATTGTCATTGACACTGACATTTTTTCCAAAGGTATACCATCAAATAACATCTACAGTATAGAAGAAGAGTAAAGGATACAAAATGACTTTTCACCAACTTGTAATAAAAATTATCATTACACTTCAAACTAACCAACACCTCAACTTACCAACCCACAATGGAGGGACTGTTATAGACCACTTTCTTTGACTTAGCAATCGGTGAAAACAAGTGCATGCAGTTTTGGTGTGATTGAGTAAACAGCATATACATGTAGAGAGGAGAAGTGTGAAGTCACAACATAATCATATTTGTAAAATAATGGGATTGGTTAGCATGTTCAGAAAGAACAAGATGAAAAAAGCCCCTTTGCTAAAAAGCAGCTCGTTAGTGCAAATTGGTGAGGAGATATATATAAGCACCAGTTTGCTTTGATGACTCTATACAAAGCTAGCCCTCTAAAATTGGCTAGGATCATAACATTAATGATCCGACAGGCATATTTTAGGAGGGTTTATATAGGGTCATCAGAGCATAACGCTGCTTACTTCTCCTCACCAATTTGCACTAACGAGCTAAGTTTTGGCAAGGGAGCTTTATTCACCTTGTCCTTTTTGAATATAGTAGCCCATCCCATAATTTCACAAATTTAGTTTTTTGCGACTTCATTCCTTCTCTTCCGTAGTACACCTTGGTACCACCCTTGACACGTCTGCACCTACTATTTCTTTCGCAATGGTAAAATTACTGTTCTGACAGAATTTTACCTTCATGTCCTCAACAGAATCCACTGCAACACCAGCCATTCCCACATCACCATGAACTCTGGGATTGTCAGAATCATACCTATGGTAAACAAAATAAAAAAACAACCACAACATTGTTTTCACTATTCAACTTCAAGGTCTGGATCTGCCACTGTACATGTAGAGTGGTGAAATTCGAGACTTTGTGAGACTGTGAGACACTGGTTTCATAATTCCAGACTCCAAGATGAAAAATCACCCAAAAATGGGACCAAGATTTAAACACTTCCAAGATTTTGAGACTAGGCCAAAATTTTCTGAGACCCAAATTTTTCAAGGAACCATTTTATACCAGTAAGCAGTTTCGCATTTTGTTTTCTAGACGGTAACCGGTCAATAATCCAGGGGTCAATAGTTACAGTGTAAATAAATCTATAATTTTGTCCATTAAACTGCAGAGGGTCTCATTTGCCTAAACAAAACACAGTCAATGTCCTTACCCTCGATGGGTGGCTAAATCAAATGCAACACTGAGACCTTGTTGACCAGCTTTGATGTTGTCACGATAAAACTTGTTGCTTTCTTCAACAGTACTGAATCCTGCATACTGTTAAAAATAATGTGTAAATCCATGAATTGCATACATTTGAACATGTCAGCATGTACTGGTAACTTCATTGTGCACTAACTACAATGTAATTCACATTGTTTTATAAAAGACAAAATTATTATGACATGACTGCACACAAATCCTTCTAAATTCGACTTGGTTCTTAACGTTATGAACAAGGGCAAAATTAGAAGGATTTGTATGGAGTCATCAAAGCATAACTGAGCTAGTTTAAATGCTAGTTTTTGGTAAGTAGGCCTTTTGGATGTTTTTCTTTCAGAATATCACAACAAATCCCATAATGTCACAAATTTAATTTCTATGATGTCGTCACTTTAGAACCCTATTACAGACAGTGTTCCACCAGAGCAGGGAAGCCAGTAGGACATTTGAGAAAATGGGATTCTACACTTGTTTTGCCGCATGCAATAAAAATTAAATTACAGAAATGAATACCAAAAGTACCATAAATTAAGTACAATGACTACATAATACATGGGCAACCTTTACTGAAAGCCAAGGTCTCACATGAGCAAGGCTACACTGGTACACTGTAATGCTGGGTTAGCAGGATTGCTTTATCTTCTTCTTTGTGAGTTCTGTGACAATGGGTCTCATGGTTTTCAAAAAAGGCTGCAATATTTATAATTTAACACACCTGTCTAATGGTCCAAGGTCGGTTGGTATACATAGTTGGGTAGGGACCCCGTGTAAAGGGAAACTTTCCAGGAATCTCTTCTTCTTCATGCTGAGTGTCAGTCCTGGTGTAAACAGGCTTGATGTCAATGCCCTAAAAGATAACAGGGAATACTAATCATAATAATAATAATTATATTTTATTATTGTATATTCAAGAGAAGATAAAAATGTCTAAAAGTCAAATTTTTTTCTTGACAATTATTTCTCTTATTCTTGTGATTTTTATGTTTGATTAATATGAAGTGACTTTTAAATCCCCATGGATTTAAAAAATACTAGAAAAACGTGTTATGTCTACTGAGAGACAACAAAGGTTAAGGTAACCTTCAAGTGCCACAAATAACAGTCATGGCCTTGAGCACACCAGGTGGAGTGGGGAAAACTGTGATTGCCTGCTCTGCATTTGAAAGATAATGATCTGATGATGTAAGATTTCATGTTATAAGGTTCTTTACCTCTGGTGTGTGCCATGTCAGTTTCTTCGCAGGATCAGCACCTTTCAGTTGTTTCTTCGCCAATTCATTCCATTCTGGATGCAGTGGTTCTCGGTGAAGAAAGCGCTGTGCTGCTACCTAGAGGTGACATCACATATACAACACTCTTAATAATCAGAGCTGTCAATAGTAGCTGAGAACCAGCTGTTTTAGCTGGCTGCTGCAATAAAATCAGCAGGTAACTCTAATGTAAAAATTCAGACACACATAACAAAATAATACAGGATAATTTTTCGGATAAATGACCATTTACTTTCCCTGAGAGACTAGCCATGTAAGTCAGCAACTAAATTGTTGTTAATAATTTCAAGGCCAAACATGGTGATTATGTTTACAATAATGTTAACACTCCTTACATTTGTGGATTATTTACATTTCTGTATTGGATGAAATTCAACAGTGACATGTAGACTTTCTGATATTTTGAGTAAAACACAAAATGGTTTTAAGTTGAGATGTGGTGTGTACCACACCTACCCCACCATAACATGGCTTAATAAAAAAGGTGTAATGTATGATTACCAGAAATTATTTATACTACAAAGCACTGGTTTTCGCTAGTGACGGAGTCAGAGTCAGAGTGGTAAACAGAGTCATAAGAGGGCTTATGAAAATCAAAAATCCTAGTCGTAAGCAGAGTCATAAACATGACGGAATCGGAGTCGGAAGAACCAGAATGTTTCCATTTTCTTCTGACTCCGCTTATAACTCCGTTGCTTACGATTTGGTGAAAACCGGATTGTTGGAGTTGGAAGCAGAAGCAGAAGGATGAAACAATCACAATGCACATTCCCACGCTATATGACTCGGGGTTTAGCTCTTCTGTCTCTGACTTGTCTTGTGACTCCGAAATCCTAGTTTTGTAAATGACAGAGTTGTAAGCAGAATCAGAATGCTGTTTTCACTAGATCATAAAGTTCTAAGTTTCTGATTACAACTCTGACTCCGACTCCATCACTACTAAAAACCAACCTTAAAACCCTGCAATTGCACTTTACCACCACATAGTTGAGGACACAATGGCACAGTTACCCTTAACTCTCTATTAGTAATTTTTTAACTTGTTTACCCAAGGAGCACTTAGGAGTTCTTAAGAACTCGTTAAAACATGTTCGTGCGTTCCAGATCGAATTGGAATTTGGAAGTATTGGTTTTTAAGGAGAGGGGAAAACTGGAGTACCCGGAGAAAAACCTCTCGGAACAACAAACTCAACCCACATATGGCGTCGATGCCAGGATTCCAACCCGGGCCACATTGGTGGGAGGCGAGTGCTCTCACCACTGCGCCATCCTTGCTCCATATATGAGAAGTTTTCCCATTTTTTAACCAAATTCTTATATAATAATAAAAATTCCAGGACGCAATAAGTCTTTAAATCGGTTTTTAGAAGGCGAAGAGAGAAAGGCTTGTTCAAGCTATGTGTACATCAATACTGTGAAGATAGTAAACACAAGCAAGCTTTGAATAACAGAGAAACAGCTGAGGGAAAATTAGCTGAAAATTACAAGGCATGTGAACGGTCACGTCTCGGATAACCAGATTATTTCTCGAGAAAAATTGCTATGGTAGTTTACCTGGTATGCAGCTGATAGCGGACTGAAAAGGAGTTTGCTCTTCAACCTAGCACAAGTTAACATATCAGAAATTATAAACGAGAAAAATGAATACTTCAAACTCCAACTTTTGTTGCCCTTCTGCAAAAGTGACCTTTACATGATGTACGTGAAAGGTGAGGGTAGTTACTGCTGACCACCAGTCACTCTGTGTGCCTTTGCTGTAACGCAATGTCACTCAGTCATGCAGTCACGCAGCAATTTCACGCGGCAGGAGAATTTCTGCGGGTAGGCAGGAGCCTATTACTAATAGTTTTTAGAGCTCCTGCCATTTTTTAACTCACTATATCATGAACGCTTCGGATATGAGCGGTTACATCTACCAGCTCCCAGCTGGTAGTATTGTATCCGCCCTGTTGCGTAGCGTAGCAAGTGTTTCCGCTGGTGCGATCATCCCAATTTAATTAAAGGGGGAGACCGAATTGGAATCTCCAACACTGCAAACTCTAACAACCCCCGCACAGTTGAAACATGAAATAATTTGTAGAGCGCAATTCACGAAAGAGATTCTTTCCTTTAACCGGCGGTTAAGAGGCTAGCGCTCAAAACGTCAACTTTTAATAAACGATTTTAACGCAGAATTGACCAGAAACAACAATATCCTGTTTCATAAATTCTGCTGAAAAAATTGTACGATTTTACTCCCCACCTGGACACAGCGCCAGTCTTTCTTTTGAAGCTTACCCTTTCAAAAAAGAGAAAAGGTAAGGCCTGTTTCAAATTAAACGTCGTGCTACTTAAGCTGGCTTGACTGTAGCTCCGGACTGCAGCACGGCATTAGCCCCACTTGGTTTCAGACGTCGAATTCCATTCAGTCGAATAGAACGACTGTTGCCGAAAACAAAACACAAAAATAAGGACACGGTTTAGCAAATTTTTAAATGTATTCTAATGTATTTATAATTTATGAATTGAGTTCGGCACGGCGGTAGCACGACGTTTGAAACCGGCCCAAGTCAAGGTACTGCCGTGAAGTACGGCAAGGCTTGCCGTGCTACACGGCAGTAGCACGACTTGGTTTCAAACGTCGCGCTACTGCCGTGCTAAATTAAAGTCGAATTTAATTCAATCAATTGAGTTCAGCACGGCAGTGGCACAAAGTTTGAAACGGGCCTAACTTTAGCTCCTTTGAAAAAAAAAATCAATGTAGCTGATTTCCAACCGAGCTCTGTATTCTCTTTGAACTCAAGGAACAAAAGAATAGAACTAAAATGTATGCCCTGATCCAGGCATTCTAGCGGTGGTAGCCTGCGTATAAAGGGGTAGGGGATCGGGAGAAAAAGGGAGGGAGATTTCTTTTCTTTCATTTACCCTTTCGCCTCCTCGTCCTCCCCCGCCCCTTCTTAAGCCTGTCACGCATGACATGGAGGAGAAGGTGCAAAGAGAACGCAACAGGAAAATACGGTGAGGGGTAGGCCAGGCCGGGAAACAGTAGAACAAGCAGCATTCATGATATGCATGTTCGGCGGCGGAAAGGACTCAACAATAAAAACAACAATTTACTAAGGTACATCCAATGAGTTTCATGGCATTATATACCCAAAAAACAATAATAATAGCTAATGGTAAAGGGACGAAATGAATAAAACAAGGTCACAGGTGTACATCATTTTGTCTGATCACAGGACAAATTTCCATTTCTGTGAGCTGTTTTTAAGGAGAATGGCAACTTAGCCTGTGAACAGGCTCTCTGTTCGTGGGGGTGAAAAATCCCTCTCCTCGCGATTTTGTCACCCTCTCCCCAAACAGAGAGCCCGTCAACTCACACAATCCATCTTTGTGTCTTGTTCAGACCCTTTCCGTTTTTGTTCGTATATGTAGTACAGGGTTTTCAACTGTTTTGTAAAGTAGCGGACATACTTCTGAAAGCACCGGACGTGAATGTTTTCTTGGCGCCGTAAGGCGCCTCGCGAGCGCCGAAGGCGCAAGCACCTAGGGGGGTCTGGGGGCATGCTCCCCCACGAAATTTTTAAAATAGAATACTCAGAAACGCCATTTCCAGCGTTTCTGGAACCAAGGAAACAGTTTCCTAGGCAATGCTGGCGCTCACTAAAATTCTCTTTAAAAAGTAAATTACTGAATGAAAATGGTCTTGCATCAGCTCCAGCTTCTTGCATGTGGTAACCAGAGATTGAAATACTGTTGTATTTAGGCATATTCTAAAAACACAACCAGAGTGGCACTCAGAATAGCATTGAATTTTAATAAATCAATATTATATTGCAGTTAGTCACAATTAATTTACACCAGTTTCCGTGTTTTCACATACACACCCAGTTACACTTCAAAACACCTCTTGAATTCTATGCTCGTGACTAAATTACAACATTGTCAGAACACAACAGAACAGCTGTAACAGGTCAAAATTACATTCAGCTTAACACTTTTTAACTTACACACGTAGGTTGATTCTCTGTTTTCTCTGTCTTCCAACCTTGACTATTCATGAATTAGGGCTAGGAGACAAGGAAATTGAGAATCAACCTAGGTTAAAAAATTTTAACCTGGATTTAATTTTGACCTGTAACATATCCAAGCGCTTATATTTTCGATGTTTACTTGTAGTTGGGCAAGATTTTTTCCCTTATAGCAGCCATCCAACCCTTACATCTCTAGTGGCCACTGTTTTAAGAGAACAATTCTTGTAAGCAGCCGGCTTCAGCAATGGACACCTTTTTTGGGTCCCTACAGTGTCAGCTTACGAGAGCTTAGACTGCATGTCTTTCTTACTAAAAGAACATAATCTTAAAGCAGCAATGTGAAAAACTGCTCAAGTTACAAATTCATAAATACCTTGGATGTGTAAGAGAAGATATCACCAATAAGCTTCATGGAAGGCGCAGGTGGAAAGATGTACGTGTTACGCACCATGAATTCCTTTAGAATGTCATTTTGAATAGTCCCAGATAACTGCTCTTGTTTTACGCCCTAAAAAACAGTCGCAGCGTTGTTAAATTGCTTTTATTATGAAAATTTTTACACACATTAATTTTATAGCGACAACAGTAAAGTGAATGTAGATTGGGGTTATTGACCCTGCATGACCTTTTTCCTTGTGGTAAGGCTGGGAGGAGGAGGTTGTGGAGACCAGTACAGGAAAGGCTTGAGAAGGATCCAGGCCTTATTTCAGAAGGATAGTATTTTTTTTGCTATGCACACATTGAAGCAAACGTGAAAGAGATGGTTATTCAGTCAGTGACACAGGTAGCTCAGAAGAAAAAGTCTGAGTACTCGGTAATCCACAGTTTGGATACTGGGACCCGTCCCCGTGAGGACATAAACCGGATTTGTTATGTACATACACGGTGACTTGTCCCATACCAAAAGTCCCAGAACTCATAATTTGTGGGTATACAATTTCACTTCTAAGCATCTTGAACAGGGTGTCTTTTTGGACTGGAAGCCTCTCAAAGAGCATGGAGACTTGCGATGAGCGGTCTACATTTGCAATACAAATAATTTTTTTCCTAAATATCTATTTCCAAGATTTAAGTGTAAAAAATTACTTAATTCTGCATGCAAAACAAAACAAATCAGGCACAGAAAGTAGTGTCTCCTGTCTTAAACAGGGTTGCAAAATGAGCAATTTTTGTCTTAAACAGGGTCAGGGTTTGAAGACTTTGGCAGAAAAGGAGTATTGGTTCTTGCTAGATTTGTTATTTTTGCGATTTTTGCGATATTTGTAAGTGATTTTCTTACATAATTTTTTCTCAATTATTTCTTTTGCAACAATTGCGAAAGCAATTTGCTAGCAAATTTTTGCTAACAAGATCGATCCTGGACATAAGTGCAGAAAAGGTCTACCCTGGCCTCTGATTACTTGTCCAGATGTTCTAGATGTACCACTAAGTAGCAGTAGACTCATGGGAGCTACTGTAAGGCCATTGAAACAATGCGTACAAATCTGTACATGTAGTTGGATATTTTAGGCAAGTACCCTCTTGGGATTATTACTTAAAGTGTACTTAATGAGATAATGGTTTTATCACTGCTGGTTAAGCGTAAATCAGCGCAAGTTTTATCAGGAATTTGTATGCTATATGTCTTGCTGTCCATGCTCACAAAAATGTACTTACAGTAAAAAAGCAAAGTTTTTAAGAACCATTGATATTAGCCTGCGTAGCAAGCGTTTCCGCAAGAGTTTGTCGAGAAACTTGGGACGAGAGCAAAAAAAAAGTGGAAACGCTTGCTATGCAGGGTACATTGATATTGACTGATATATAACCTGTTCTTCTGCAGCAACAATGTACATGGCCAAGACTGGTAACACAGCACCATTCATTGTCATTGACACTGACATTTTTTCCAAAGGTATGCCATCAAATAGCATCTACAGTATAGAAGAAGAGTAAAGGATACAAAATGACCTTTCACTAACTTGTAATAAAAATAATCATTACACTTCAAACTAACCCAACACCTCAACTTACCAACCCACAATCGAGGGACTTTCACTGACTTAGCAATCATTGAAAACAAGTGCATGCAGTTTTGGTGTGATTTAGTAAACAGCATGTACATGTAGAGAGGAGAAGTGTGAAGTCACAACATTTAAGCAGTTATTTTATAAAATAACTTTCCCGAGAAAAAAACGCAAAACTCTTTGTATGGCTCTGATTAAAAGAAAAATTCTTACCAGTCGCAAAATCTTGTCCACGAAGTCTTGCATGTGTAATCAGTTCTTGTTTTGCAAAAAGATGCTTTGCAAAATACGGATTTTTCTCGCTTAAAACGGTCAGCTTAAGCGAAGAAAAATGTACACACCTTCTTTGTAACGATTTTCCAAGTTTCAGCGGACGAAGGAATGGGTAAATAAAGTAAACTTTTTGAGTTTTGAACTCGAAGACTTTTTCAAATTTGTGCTTGCATGATTAGCGCGCGAAAAACCAAACAACTTGACGCCACAACCATGTTTACATACTCTCATGCAAACACTCCTCTCGGCCAATCAGAGCGTGCGTACTATCTTAGTTATTTTATAAAATCATATTTGTAACATTATGGGATTGATTAGCATATTCAGAAAGAACAAGATGAAAAAAGCCTGTTTGCTAAAAAGCAGCTTGTTAGTGCAAAATGGCGAGGAGATATATATAAGCACCAG